AATTGGAGAAGAAGAAAATGAAGAGTGAAAAAAATGAAAAAAAAAATGGAAAAAGGGGAGGAAGAAACACATAACGCAGTTATGATAAGGCTGTCCGAAGGCTTAAAATTCTTAAAAATATACATTTTAATGTAAGCTAGATTTTAATTTCAGTATGTTATCCTTGTTTGAAATTGCAGTCAACTTGAGATAACAGTTTAATCACGTATTATAATAAAGCATTTCTGTGATGTCAGATGACTGTGTTGATCACGTGACGGACATTTTTGATATGCTTAAATATTGCACAAAAATCGCATCGGCACAAGTGCATAACACGAATATTGTGCAAAGTTTGTTACATAGATCAATTCATCGTGATCCATTGCACTTAAAAAGTGCTGGGGGCAGGTTTAATTTTTCCTTCTGAAGAAAATATTTTACGATAAATTAAAATTACCAACGTAAGAAGGGGTATTTTCCACTTTTTATCGCGATTTATACAAAAACGGATAAACTACATACGATCCCCCAGCAAAATTTAGTTAGAAGACATACTTCTCTTTTAAATTCACGCAAAATATCTTCAATTTATCCCTATCTTTCACTTGTGCCAGTCCAATATAAACACGATTCATAAATTCTATCTCTGTCTACGGAAGTGTAAGTGGAGCGTTTAAAACATAATTTTTTGCTATTGCTTGAATATATGCATATCGGACAAGCAAAAGGAATAGAGATATTTAAATATCAAATGTTAAACATTATTACAGCACACACAAGGTTAAAAAACAAACCTTACTATTGAATTAAACACAAATCCCCATAATAAATCTACATGCCGTGTAATAATTATGACACTTTCCCCGTCATGTCAGCTCAAGTATGCAGTGACTTGACGTCATATTCTATTATGACGTCATATCTAGGTAGTTCAGAGAAGTTAGTACGGTTTGAATTGTTTAATATTTTACTGGCAGCCTTATCCTAGCTGCGAATAATGAAATGAGAGGAAAACAATTATGGAGGACAGACTAAATCATATATTTTTAATATAAACATACAGAGTTTTTTAAGCGACATAGCATCTTGTTTTGTCATCAGTGGAGAAAATTTAAGAACATTTGGTCTAGTAAAGTAGTATTCATTAATACATTTTTTCCTGATGTTTGACAGAGCAGTACATTCAAGTATAAAATAAAATTCATCAGCAATATGTTTAGAATTACAAAGTGTACATAATCTTTCACTTAATGGTATAGATGCCCATCTTCCCAACTCAACTGGTAGATGGTGATTAGTTGTACGAAATTTGACAAGTATTTTTCAAAATTTTAATGGCAGAATACTTAAATACTTTTCACACTCAAAATTTGTTTTAAAAGTTTTATACAAAGTACCTTTAGAAGAACTGTTAATATCAGAATGCCATTTTTGTATAAATTGATCTTGTAATCTTTGTTTACCAACAGTAGTAATTCAGTCTTGATTAGGATTATAATAAATCTGTTCATTTCAAATAAAAGAAAGTCCACATGAGTCAAAAATACGATTAACACAGTCAATCCAAGGATTCTTACCAATTTCCGCAAAACACGGACCTCCAAAACATCAGAGGTGAGATTAAGTGTCATAGAAGAGTGAGTATCCATTGCCGACCGGTCACACCCACCGTGTGCTCCTTGTCATTATCGAGAAATAACAGAAATATCCGTCGTCAATTCTGTGTATAAATAATAAAATAACAATTAGTATGAAAAACGTCAATCAGCAGATGACTCAATGATAAACTGTATTTGCTGACAAGGTCATTGTATCGACCATAGAACTGACGAAATGATGACTTTAAACTAGACTGCTAATTTTCTTGTGTCATTAATTTGTTTATCATCATTTTTTTATTGCATATCATAGGCTTTTTAAACCCGCACGATTCACGGAAGAAAATGCGGCTAAAACAATCCGTCTTTTCCTTAAACTTCAATATGCCAATAAAGGAATTGACGCAGTTAATAGAAGTAATATTCTTAACCACAATAGGTTCCAGTCTTGTATTCAACCATATTTCAAGTTAAAGACTACACCTTGTAATTCCTACAAATATACATCGACAATTGCTTCCAAACTTTTCAATTACAAAAACACTTTAAATGGCCTGGATTCCGACAGTCTGAAACATAATCCTCCTTCGTGTTCATGTTCTTCTTCGCACTATAACTATAGTCCTGCAGGACACGTTATAACAGGTGACGTAAATATAGTTCGTACTGAGGACCTTAGATCATTTATTTTAAAAGGTCCTAAATATAGGGAACTCCGAACCTTCAACTGGCGACGGAATTTCATAAATATTATGGATTCTGATGAAAATAACGCCATACGATGGGACAGATATGAAAAAGAAGACGTTGACACTTTGTCAGAATGTATTAAATGTATGATCCATGTTTAAGTCACGTATTAAAAGATTGAGGGGCAATATGAAAACCATCTATCCTTCTGTGTTCAAAAAACCAGAAGTGAAAAAAGAATTAGATAGATTACACGATCAGTACGTACTGGTTCCTGCTGACAAAGCATGTAATAACATTGTCTTCGTTTGTAAAGCTCATTATATAAATTGCATTCTAGAAGAACTTGGACTTTATTCTACCAATGGTTATCCTACTTATACTCATACTCATACTTCCCTTTCTAAGGAAGACATTTTTCAAAATCATATGTCAGTTTAAATATTTTTAATATTCCACAGAGCCAAAAATGAATTTGAATTAACCTATATATATTGGATTCCGAAACTTCATAAAAATCCTTACAAACAAAGATACATTGCAGGTTCCAGTACATATTCAACCAAGCCTCTTTCGTTACTCCTCACTAAAATATTGACAGTAGTGAAGGAAAAACTTCAAGAGTACTGTGCAACTATATATTCAAGAAGTGGTGTGAGACAGATGTGGATAATAAAAAAGTTCTTAAGAACTTTTTGACAATTTGAAATCCCAAGACTTGGTCATTTGCAAAATTATTTTGTTAAAACAGAAGATGACATCAAGAAGATGCTTGAGTTTCTGATTGACAATATCTATGTGGTTTTTGGAGACCAGGTATTCAAACAATCTATTGGAATTCCCATGGGTACAAATTGCGCTCCGTTCTTAGCAGACTTATTTTTATATTCATATGAAGCAGAACTTATGCAGAATCTGATGCATGAAAAGACAAAAACACTTGTTGTGGCCTTCAACTCTAAATTTAGATAGATTGACGACATATCGTCAATTAATAATAATAATTTCCATTCCTACGTCGATACGATATATCCTGATGAGCTTGAAATAAAAGATACCACAGAGTCGGAAACTTCTGCTTCATAATTGGATATTTTATTTGAAAAAGACACTAATGGTAATCTAACAACCAAGCTATATGATAAACGTGAAGACTTTTCTATCGTCAACTTCCCTTACTTATGCAGCAATATGCATTCATCACCTGTTTACGGAGTATATATATATATATATATATATATATATATATATATATATATATATATATATATATATATATATATATATATATATATATATCTCAGTTGATTCGATACGCAAGAGCATGCTCTACATATGAACAATTTCTGAAACAAGGTAAATTATTGACAAGCAAGTCAATGAAACAGAAATATCAGCAGTTTCGTTTAAAGTCGTCATTTCGTAAGTTTGGTCGATACAATGACCTTGTCAGCAAATACAATTTATCATTGAGTCAAATGCTTACTGACGTTTTTCATACCATTGTTAGTTCATTATTTATACATTGAATGGTCGACGGATTTTTCCGTAATTTTCTGATCATGACAAGGTGCACACAGCGGGTGTGACCGGTCGGCAGGGGATGCTCACTCCTCCATGGCACATGATCCCACCTCTGATGTTTCGAGGGTCCGTGTTTGCTCTGCTCTTATTTTGTATTGTTTTATTGACTTTGAGATTGAATACTGTTCGTTATCTCCATATCCTTACCTTAATTAAGTGTTGTTGTTAGGTAACCGTTAATTTTGGTTTGTAGTCTACTCTTCAAACCTGAATCATGTTGTTAGTCTCTATGTTTTCCTTTAATTCAAAGTAACTTTGGATATATACCATCAACAAATAAATGGAAGGAACTTTAATTAATTGATTTTTTGTTCTCTTGAAAACGTTGCTGAATAAACGCTGCCTCATATGAATTCGAAAAAGACATGTCTGCTAAAAACTGGGGACAATTCTACCTCTACCACTGATAATTGCTACGAATATGTTAAAGACCTATTCTCCAGAATGTACATAGGTATTGTCAATTGGAAATTCAAGCATATTTTGAAACTCATGTTTACAATCAGCAATTTTTTTCAACAAAAGATTTTTGCAAATAACGAAAAGATATAATTTTAAAGATCAATATTCATTAAAAAGCAGACGTCTTTAATGTTAGAAAGCCTGAATTTTAATCTCCTGTGGGTAGAGTTTGTATGAAGATTTGTTCAAGAAAAGGTTAAATTTCAGAAAACAAAATTTCTCGCCACTTTAGCGAAATTTATTAAGGTTAAGTTTCACAAAGCTCAATTTATTGCCACTTATAAGAAGTTAACTCGTAATTTCATACAAAATGTCCTTAAGACAGTGTCGAGGTTGATTTTGCACTTGACTGTAATAGATCACATAATCTTTTGTCTTGGGACTTGTTTACACTCGTCTAAATCAAAGAACTCGGAATGTTTCTCATTTTAGTCAGATACATATGTGCACGTGAAACAGTATTAATTTCATTATCTGAAATAATATTTATTCTATTTTGTTTTAGAAATACACTCTTTGAACCATCTGCTAGCAGCCAAATTGTAAGGTCGAGAAGAAAAAGGTCCGAGTAGATCAGAGTCTTGTTTTATTATTTTTTTTCATTACTTCTATTCAACACTATCTTAATATTTTTTTTATTATCTATCATCATCTACTAGTATCATCTATAAACTTCCCATTAGAGTTCTGTAAAAGTCTCCTTTTTGGTATTTTATGTGCAAATACCTCTTCATTAGTTTTTATTGAATCATATTCATAGTTTGAAGGATCAAACGATTTTGCATGACTTGTCTCAATTGAAAGACATTTAGACACAAGATATTCAATACTTAATGTTTTAAGAATTGCTCTTATTTCCGTTTGCAAGCGGCATCATCATCAACTTCATTGTTATCATCTACATCATCATCATCAACACCATCACCATCATCATCAACATCACCATCGTCATCATTATCATCATCATCGTCATCAATGCCTTTCACTTCTTTATCATTTTGATCTTTACAGCCTTGAGTTGGAATGGAGTCGACAGATGGCGCAGTTGGTTGTGGTCCACCTCCACAGTCATGAGAGCTGTCATACATTCTGGAAAATCTCAAATCCGTGTAAGTATTTAAGTCTGGTTGATCACGTGGGCTGGATACAACATGGTCAGCTCCAACTGACGATGTGCTTCCGTGAGATTCATATCTATCTCTCTGAGATTCTTGAAATAGAAAGCAAGCGGTATTTAAGTTTATTTGTTTTATGACTCTACAATGTTCCATTATATATTCTTTTTATTAATTTAGCATTGATTATTTAGCCTGCATTTTTCTTTAAGATATGTATTCACATTGAACAACATTTTATTTTTTACAATAAACCATATGTTAATTACAAATATTTAAATTCAGAATTTATTTCTTAAATGTTTAAAGACAAGGCAATATTCTTACCAGTTACTTCTGTAGAAAGCCGACCGGAAGAAGGAAAACAATCTGGTGACTTTGAAAACCTATAGGAAAGACATTAAATACTGATCAGTCATATAAAGATAAATTGTACTTCTAAAATAAGACTGCCAGTATAAGGGACTGAATTGGAATATCATTCAATAGTTCTATTTTGCCCACATTACCAGGATCTAAGGTAAATCAGTAGACCAATGAGACTCATGGTGATTACAGATCCAACCAGGGCATACGTCAGGGGTGTCCACTCACTAGAAACCTCTCTATACTTTTCTTTAAAGGAAAAAAATCCTGAATAATAGCTATCTATCATAATATATAGAGACTTACATCTAAAATCAAAAACACAGGTATATAAATGTCATTTATCATATTGAATTGAATATATTGAAAAAATAATAATATGTAAAAAAATGCAAATAACGAACAGTGATCTCTCACAAAAATATATAAACATTATAAGTATATGAGGCGGATAAAAAGGTTGGATCAAGTGCAAGAAAGAGACGGAAACAAACAGTAATCCACAAATAATACAATTCTATGTAAAGGTTGTACATTTACATATCTAAAGAAGTTCGTTAACATAGCACTATATAAAAAATAAATGTTAAAAGTAGGTGATTTTGTAGATTATTCGAGAACTTTGCAATTAAAAGTCCTCTTTCTAAATTAAAAAAATGTTTATTTTCACTTATTTTGATCAGCATAAATCAAAAATGTTTAAGAAATAAGATATTATATGGGATATGACATGAAGATGGTTGCGTGATCAAATTCTCACACCATCTAACTTTATGTTATTCCCAATGAAAATCTAAAAATGATGTCTTCTTTCTTATATCTTCATTTTTTATTCTTGTGACAAGGAAAAATAGACATTATTTAGACTTTCTTATGGAAATGAAACATAACGTAACTACGATGTCATGTGACGTCACAATCTGAACTTTCCAAATGGCTCGTGCAGTTTGCTTTCTATATGCAAGAAAAATCGGATCATGTGACCAGCTGCATGTCATTGAAAGTTAAATTACAATTCCATTATCATTGTTATATAAAGAATGACATTAGCCAATGTAAGTATATTATAATTACCCATGCTTTCCATTTGACATCCATATCTTACATCACACCTTTCTGTAGGACAGTAACACTTCGACCTGCAAAATCTTCCATAAAAACCATCTACACATTTACCACTGCAATTTATTCCATAAGTTCCCAATGGACACTCTGTAAAAAAAAGTATTAAAAAATATTACCAGAGTTCATAACCAATTTTCCATTCTTTTTAATCAACAGTACCTTAAATTGTCTAAAAACTACGTCCAAGTCAAAGGTTATTGTTGAGAAATTTAAGATAAGGGGTTCGGTCGTGTGGTTAAATTTTAGGGAACCATATAATTAAGGAGGCTCATTACACCACTTTTTGATGGCGTAGTACACAAAAAAAATAAACCGCCATTGTTTCGACCGTTATCCTCTGTGGACGAATTGTACTGGCGCCTCTATAATATGACCCTGGCCTTTAAAACGCTGTAAGAATAGATGAAACATGCGGTGTTATAAACAGTAAAAACAAAGTAACGGATTCATTATGCATATACCAAAAAGGATTGCTTTTAAGCAGAAACAAAAGAAAACAACAGTCAAATCTTTGCTAAACAAGTAATGTGCAATTCATAGCGATGTATGCAGTGAGCTCTATCAATGACATGTTTGTATGGAGAAAATTCAAGTAAAAATCTACAACCTTGTTGAAATTTAAAAAAAATCATTTACTTGCACTATTTACTGTGTTGGTGTTTATTTATATATTTGCTTTATTTACTTAAATATATACTTTGGCATTTTAAAGCTTTGTTCTGAATTTTAGATGTAATGTTCAAACGTTCCTTAGTGTTTTGAGTCTTGGGAAATTAGGAAAGAAAACTCTTGAAAGTGGACTTTTTATACCAAATAATTTTAAATTGGAATCTTCATTTTGTTTAAACATTCTTCATTCGATTTGTCACATGTAATTAATTGAAATACATTTCTTGTCTATTCAGAATTCATTTTCTCAATGTTTGATGCACAGATTAAAAAGATAATTACATAAATTGTTTTTTAGAAGAAAATTATTTTTTCTAATAAAATTATTATTAGGTATTATGAGGTATTTTCACTGTGTGTACTTGTCTTAAGAAGATGCCTATCAAATGACACTGAAAGTTCTGAAATTTTGATAATTATTAACTTGAAATAAATCATTTCACTAAAATTAGACAAAAGCTAAAAAATTCTCTAAAAATATTTATCAATACTTCCATCTGGACATTTGACATCTACATAATAAGTGGTGATGTAATAAAATCTAAAATAAACTGTGGATGTAATGAGCCACCTTAATCCTTTACCTTCATTAAATGTCAGTAAGCATGCTAAAAGTCTGCGTAAAAAATACAATCTGAAGGCAGAACACCCGTTAAAACAGAGAAAGGATAAGGTGTTATGTAAAAGATATCTTAAAAACAATATAACGATAGGTCGTGAAACAAGGGTCCTTGGGAGCCACATTCAGCTCCTCATTTTAAGTTAATCGCTGATTGAGATTTTTTCTACAAAACGGTTGCCATATCTTATGAATCTATAATATACTAGGATTGATCCAAAAGTAATGTCACAACTTTGATAAAATTTGTATAAATCGACGTATAGCAACACAATTATGCATGATGGAAGCTTTATTTATTTCAAATCAGACCTGAAACATTCAATGTAATAGGATGTATACTTACCAAAATATCGGATTTTAAACAATTTCCGTTTATGGCAGTCGCCGCACCTAAATATAACGTCATGTGACGGACTTTTAAGCATTTTGCCTTCGTTTAATAAAAAAATATTTGTGATTCGCAAACACTTTCAGCAATTCCACTTTTTTAAAGAAATCTTGGTACCAACATACACTCACTTGTTTTATAATAAAGCACTTTGTCAAAATTTTTTTGAACAGTAGCAAAGACAAATTTAGAATTCACATACGCATGTCACTCTACACGTCTGTCTTTTTTTACTTCAGACACCATTGAACGTTTCCGTCCGTCTCCTATCTTTCGGTCTTTTTGTCCTCTGCTGATCATTCAGTGACCAAACACCCGCCCAAATGTGCTGAAACCATCTATTAAGATGTCTTTTATTTAGATTCTTTATTCTGTAAGTCTGATTAAAACATGTTACTGTCGCTTGTGATGATTCCCATATTTGAAGCAACAAATGCATTATTTTCAATTCATCAAACAACAATGTTTATGATCACAAATACATGATGTACCAATGCCACCATTAAAAAATAGAAAATGACGAGAATTGTGTCTTTTAAAAAATGGGAGATTAGGTGATTTTTTAGAATCTTTTTAATGTGCTTGTTTTTTTTTTCATTCTTAAAAAAAAATACAATTCAAACGTTACGTTCCGTTGTGACGCAGAGACACCCCTATGCTCTATGTCTTAAACATCTATAAAATAAATTCAAATAAATATTATTAATTTATAATTTTAGTGTTAATTAGATTGATATTTGTGCATCTTTTGGTATATTTTTTTGAAAATATGACGCCAAATATAAAAGATAAGGACACTGTGATTACACATTACTTTCTGATCAACCCTCGTAGATTACAATTCGCTTTCAGCTTCTAGAAATTATAAAATTATTGTGCTTACCGAGGCAATCCCCGTGTGAACTTCGGTAAAAATTAAGACAGCACCTGTAAACATATTAGAGGATATATTAAATGTAGAATTTTTCTCCAGTTTTTTGCTTTTTCAAACGATTTACACATACGAGTAAATTGATAAACGTGTATCATCCTTCTAGTAAATGCTATCAAAAGCATACCTGTTTCCACACTCTGCACTACAAAAAACCTTTGACAAGGTGGGTAAGACAATCATATGATACAATATCAGTCTTCTTACATGATTCATTTCTTTTATTGAAATGTTTATTAAAAACCTGCAATGAATTGAAATATTTATTTTAGTATTAAATATGTATCAGAATTAGCATAATTTAATACTGTTTTTTATTATTTGTTATTTCCTGAGCACTTGTGTTGCAAGTGCAGAATAACATTTTAATATATATTTTTTTCTTTTACATGGCACCTATAAACATGAAAAGGAAGTGATAGAGTCGCCGCTAACAATAGTTGGAAATCGATTTTAGGAAAAGGGAAATATTTGCATGTGTGGTATATAGGAAATAGGTAAGAACAGTTGTTAAAATACAAAACAGGATGGAAATGTAATACGATCAATAGTTCGTTAAAATGATTTGTGGGGTGTTTTTCTTTTTTGGATAAATTTATTCTTTACATAAATCAAAGGAAAAATATCACTGAAAATATCGAACTTATGTTCTTTGTTTAATAATCGTGTATATTTTACTAGATGTGTCAAATGTAATTACTTAGTTGCGACGATTGTACAAATCCTCTCAATAGGTTGGCTTTTTACCCCACCTGCTGCCGCTAGTCGATTTTTGTATAAATACACTTATCTGATACTTTTTGATACATGCTTTATAGATATTCATTAAGTTATGCAGTTTTGTGGATATCAAGCATATTTAATTCTTGTAATTTTTGTATTATTCTACTTTTTTGATTTTACATGTGATATGTTTGCGGATTACTAATGTTCCTTTGCATTGACAACTGTAACTTCATTTGCAAATTTACATTGTAGCATCCATTTTGATATCATGGAACTGTATTCACAATTTTACAATGTTTAATCCATTTTTGTATAAGGAAACTGTAATTTGAATATCAAAATTTTGAAATCCATTTTGTTATACTGGAATTATTTTAAAAAGTTTGTACAACTTTATGATTTGATTTGATCAAAATATTATTGTATTTTGATCAATAAACTTTTTTCAACACACATGGGAGTTTGTCTAATTTTGATAAGTAGGTAAGGAAAGAGGAGGCCTAAATGTAATTACATGTAAAGTTAATGATGTCTCTTCATGAATGAAAGGACGAAGATTAACTTATTTTAAAAAATGTATTAAGATCAATTTAGTTGTAGTTTTTTTTTTTTGCGAACATTATTTGCGACAATCACTCTGTTCTCAGCCATAATTAGTTTCTTTAAAAGTGATTGAATTAACGATCGAATTCTCCACCACTTATAATAACAGAGCTGGAACATGTATCATTATTGAGACTTGGTCATTTGATACCTTCCTAAACATACACTCCTTTAGATTTTTTAAGAAGAAGAATCCTATTGCGTTTCCTTACCTGTAATACGATATTTATTCAATATATTTAGTCATTAAATAATTCAAATCTTTGTTTGCCTATGTGAAAAGTTATTGGCCAAGAAAGACTACTCTTAAAATCGTATTTAATTAAAATCATTTATTATTCCTTGATTATGAAATATAAGTTGTTCTTATTGTGTCGGTTCTCCAAAATTTTAAGTTAAGTAAAATGAAATATATGGAGATAATAAACAGATCAAAAGTCCATAAAACAATACAAAACAGAGCAGAGCAAACAGGGACCTCAAAAACATCAGAGGTGGAATGAAGTGCCATGGAGAAATGAGCATCCCCTGCTGACCGGTCACATCTTCCGTGTGATTCTTATCATGATCGGGAAATAACGGAAAAATCGGTCGTAAATTCAATGTATGAATAATGGATTAATAATTTGTATTAAAAACTTCAGTCAGTATTTGACACAATTATAAATTGTATTTGCTGACTAGGTCATTGTATCGACCATAGAACTTACAAAATTATTAATTTAAACGAGACTGCCGATGTTCTTGTTTGTCAATAGTTTAACTCATATTATAAATTGTT